TTGCAGGTTTTGCGCAGTGCGCAAATCCTGCAGATGCCAAATCCGCGCACTCCGCAGCAGAGATCGACGACGTCCATCTTTGGGCAGCGCTCGAACTCCTCGATCTGCCGGCACCCCATGGGCCGCCGTAAAATCAGCCCGCTAGGGCGCGTCTGGCGGCTGCCGGCGCAGCGCAGACCATGATTACGCTACAGGCTTCATCGATGGCGCGCGTGCCGCATCGGATGGGCGGAATCGCTGCGGCGCGAGGGCGGGGCAGCCCGTGGCGACGATTCGGCGGCTCAGAAGCATGGCACGGCTGAAGGCGATGGTACAGCTCGGCCGTGGGGCGACCTGGGACCTCCTCCTCGCGTCCCTCGCGCTGGAGGAGCTGTGACCTTCGCGGTGCCCCCCGCGGGCCGCCGCGGTGCCCGAGCACCGACCACACCAACCCGACGGCTTTGAGCCCCACAACCCAGCCCTTGCAACGAAACGATGCGGAGGTGACGAGAATCGATCCATGACGCTGCGCAGCCTCGAAAACTGCTCGAGGGGGGTGCTGGAGCCGAGCGTGTCCAACCCCACTCCTTAGAACCGCCCGCCCGAGTCGCCACACAATCGCCTGGATGTCTTGTTTTCACCACTGCTTCGTCCGTGCGCGCGCGGCCCTCGAAGCTGCTGGGATCGTTGCGCAGCTCCTCATATTCGCGGAGCTGTGGGGCTGCAAAGACGACCATAGCATATTCAGGCGCTCCTGAGCGCTCTCTCGTCCTCGATGTAAAAACTACTATTTTATTTGGGGGGCAATATCGGATTTACAGATAGTAGCTTGGCCCACGAAGCAGGCAAGTACAATGTACTCACCGGCTCAGGAGGCCGGCAGTAACCACCCCACGACCAGAGGGGGCCGACCACCAGGCATACACCAGCCACGGCATACACCAGCATAGCAGCCGCATAGCAGCCGCATAGCAGACGCATAGCGGGCGCATAGCGGGCGCATAGCGGGCGCATAGCAGGCGCATAGCAGGCGCATAGCAGGCGCATAGCAGGCGCATACCACCAGCATAGCAGGCGCATAAGACCAGCATAGCAGCCGCATACCACCAGCATAGCAGGCGCATAAGACCAGCATAGCAGCCCACCAGCATACCACCAGCATAGCAGGCGCATACCACCAGCATAGCAGCCCCATACCACCGGCATAGCAGACGCATACCACCGGCATAGCAGACGCATACCACCCGCATACCACCCGCATACCACCAGCATACCACCCGCATACCACCCGCATACCACCCGCATACCACCCGCATAACACCCGCATAAAGCCCGCATAAAGCCCGCATAGCGGGCGCATACTACCAGGCATACCGGCGGTCAACCCCCTCGGCCCACGACACCAAGCACCACTACCCCACCCACCCTGAGTCGCGCAGAGTGACACAGAGTATGTTAGGAATGTGTGAGAGGACCAGTAGAGCCGGTAGAGGCTCGGTAAGGCCGATGGTGAAGGCAGGGTAGGGTGCTCCTGTGTGTGTGGTGTCTTGTGCTCCCCCGCAGCGCGCAGGGTGAGCCAGGGCGTGGCGAACACGCGTGATGAAAGTGGTGGAAGAGCGAGACGGGTCAGTGCGGAATCTGGACCCGGCCCGTCGCGGAGTCGGCGGCCGCGTAGAGAGGAGCTCGTCGGTAGCGTCGGCGGCGTAGACGGTCTCGGTGTCGCCGTGGAGGCGGGCTTGAACGCCGGACCCGGGGTGCGCCGGGGGCGTGGTGCCGCTCGCGTCGGCGAGCGGGCTTGGTGCGTGCGGCGACGCAGTGGCGGGATGGTGCGCTGAGGTAGCGGGCCCTGGGGCCGTCGGGATGTACCGTGATTGCGGAGCTGCAATGGATCGAAGTTGCAGTCGCTCCCGTGGTCTTCTCGTGTGTACGAGGCTGTGTTCGCGCGCGTCGACGAGCGCGCGTAGATGGCGCCGTAGGGCGCGGCGGGCGACTCCCCCGGAGTGGAGGGGGAAGCCGTGGTCGGCGACGGCGCCGTGTCGCGCGTCGTGTGGCTGATTCGATAGTCGTGTTGTAGCGCCGTGTCGTGAAGGGCGCGGTTGTTCGCGCCGATCGGGACGCTCGCCGGCGCGAGCCGGAGAGGCGCCTGGGAGACTCCCCCGGAAGGGGGGGGGCGAGCGGACGGCGCGGTGAAGGCGGGCCGCCGGCCTCGCG